TTTTTTTTTTTCTTCTTCTTCGTATCCCTTACCCAAGCGAAACTGTCAACTTTCTTTTCTCCTCTTTATCGTCTTTGCGGTAGATCTGCAGGATCAAAGTTTTCAGTTTATCAGGAACGTGCATCGCGTCTTTATCGCGACGCCGATAAAGCGTGTGCTCGAGCCGGTTGTTCGTGTAGAAACTGGAAAAATATTCCGTGGGAACTCAATTTTGTCGTAGGAATTACTCGTAAGTCGATTTCTCTCGTGGAACGATTTAAATCTCGAGGTAACCGCAGGGTGGTCCGGCTCTCGGCTTTCTCCTTTTTCTTCTCGCCCTCCCGCAAAACGGAGGGAGATGAGATGCGCAAGGTCAGACCTTAAGGGGTGGGAGAAGGGTTGCTAGGTTGACAACCCTGCTCGCAGGGAGGAACTCCGCCCATTGGCGGAAACCGCGAAAAAAAGAGAGGAGTGAACCCTAGAGGGTTCAGCAATGGCGAAAAAAGAAGTCAGAGGTCGTCGCCGGTGCGAGAGGAGACGGGACGCGGCTCTGATAGAAATAGACGAGGACAGAAACGGGCAAACCCGAAGAAAATGTAATAGAGGGCAATCCCGTCCTCGAATGTTAATTAACGACGAATTGTAATCATCGGTGCCGGCTCGACTCCGCCAAGAATACACTCGCTTGATGGCTATTGACAAACAATTATGATACCCACTATAAAGATACAAGCGCGATCATTAAATTTGATGGTATAACAGATTACGTTGCTGCCTCGAGTTGGGGCGTTGTACACGGTGTTTAACCTTGGAGTCATTTTCTCCTCTCTTCTCGTCCTTTTCCTTTTTCCCATCGAAGGAAACTTTGTTTCAAAAATGGCGGGGTTACAATATGACAATCGCATCGCGTTGCGTTTAGCATTCAGCGAGCTGTGCACTCGTCAAATCAAAACGGTCGAATGATGAAAAAAATGTCAGTACACAATGCGCAGTTCGTCGTGCACGTGCGTTGCCAAGTCGGCAAGTGCCACCGATTCTTTTTCCCGACTCGGGATCTAACCTATTGTATAATCGAGAACTATGTCAGATCGCCAAGTAACGATCCAACTATCCTCGCAGATGGTTAAATTTTTCGTCGCGAGGAACGTTTTAAAATGTCCAGATCAAAAGAAACGTACGTTTGCACGAAATATTCGTCGTTCGTGGCACTGTGCTACGTGAAAAATAGGGTAACCTGAGAGTCTGAAACGCTAGTTGAAACGTTGTGTCGCAGAAATTTCCTCGTTTTCCACGTTTCGTTTTTTCGCACGATGTCGCGCGCGTTCGAACGTGCGCGAAATTAAAACGCCTCGTCAGGTCGCGGCCGCGCGCGTTCCATCAACTTTTCTCGATGCTCGACATTTTCACCTGTTCCGGTGAACTTTTTCTTCCTTTTTTTTTTTTTT